TTTAAGTTGATTGTTCATAATTTTTTTCTTAGACACCTGTGAAAATAATTTCTATTCCCATGGCTTTTTTGTTCTCTGGGAAATTATTTTTGATGATAAATACAGAAACAAGCATAAAAATAAAAAAAATCTACAATAGTGATAGTAATATTCATAATAAAATAATAGTCAGTGCAAAGTAGCCTACAAATTATTTGGTGGGGGGCGGTGAGGGACCTGAAGAAAGGCTTTGGGGGGCGCTGGCCCAAAAAAGGCTGAGAAACACTGTTATAGAATATCGTCTTCGGAAACACGCAGTGCCTATGATAAAGCACAAGGGGGCGGTAATTCACCAATAGGGTGCTTTCCAACTGTTGTTAAACAAAAACGAAGAAGGCGGACTTCAACGTGTAACAGCTGAGTGCCTGTGAGAAACCTTCCTGCGGTACTTCTCCTTTCATCATAGAACTTTGAGATGGAGAATGATATTCTCGTCTCGCTGGAAGATTTAGGGTAAGTGAACAAAGCTTCTGTCCCACTGGGGGCGGAGGGCTGTGTGCATAAAACCCTAAAGAGCTTCCTGCTCTCTGTCCTGTTTTAGCTAGCCGCTGCAGTGTGTAGCTCTGACAGCTAATCTGAGAGGGCAGAAACATCAGCTGAGAAGTGATGTTTATTATTCTGTTGCTTCAAGTGAGAGGTCAACGTTTCCATAGCGGTGTAAGCTGAGCTCCAAATTGGTATAGGTGGTTTGCATGAAGCTGCGTCAGCAGAACTTGCCGAGAATGGGCTACCCCGCTGCCTGCCTGCCTTGTTTGTCGCTCTTTATGTTAAGGGGTCAAATTTCTAGAAAATAGGATTTATGCTAACATTACAAATGTAACCTGTATATATAAATATGCAATGAATTCATGGAAGTCATCAGAGTTTAGGAGTTGGTTTAAGTCCTGTACGTGCTGATTGTTTGGCAACATGGAAGAATGTCCAATGGAAGATTCAGACGGGTTATTTCTGCTGGTGCCTGTCCACGGTTATCGTCCCGTGAGAACCTCTGCACAGTGATCCTGTTCAGCGTAGAAAAATCTGGAATTTTTTTTCTACGTCTGGTTAAATTTGTGATCTATCAAGCCATTCATCTTTTTATTTAGTAGTATCAATCTTTTATTTCTTAGCTCTCAATCTATTATTAAATCTATTCAGTCCTCCATCCATCTTCTTTTTCTCTGTCCATCTTTTCATCAAGCCATGCTTTTTTATTTGTCTGTCCACCCCTCTGTGTTTCTTCTCCATCTATCCATTTATCTATCATCTACTCGTCATGTCATTTATCAATCTTCACCTGTAATCTATCTATCTATCTATCTATCTATCTATCTATCTATCTATCTATCTATCTATCTATCTATCTATCTATCTATCTATCCAGTGAAATGGGCTGTAGAGGACTGGGAGTTCTTGTAATGCTTTTATGGAATTATCTTACACACATGTGTAGGGACACTGCAATGAGGGAATAAAAGTTGTGATTTTGAACTGATCAGGGTTTCTTGTGGTTTAGCTGCTTGTGTGTCCTGTTCTTCCAGCTACCAGGGCCCTCTGTTGGAGGATGGAGCTCTGGATTCTGCTGTCATGAGAGGAGCAGCTTCCCCGGAGTTCACCAAGCTCTGTGCTTGGATCATCTCAGAGCTCAGACTGTATCACAAGCTGGAAGAAAATGTCCATGCTACTAACTGTAAGTTTAGTAGCCCCACTCTAACCTTTGGCACTGCTTTCACTGGTGTTCCTGGCTTTTTCCACTCATGCCATAGCAATTTGTGGGACTCACATGTTTAATAGCTCCCTTACTGCCATGATGTTAGTCATATCCTATCATCTCCAGACAAACCAACAGCCATTTAGATATTAGAACAGGATTGAAAGTGCAGGTAGATCTTTTTTCATTTTGCAAATTGCACAAATATAAATTAGAGGAATAAATGTAAATAGTTATAGGTTTTTAGCTTCAGAAAACCTTTTACGACAACATATGACTGTGGTTGGTGGATTAATATCAAGGCTGAGACTGACTAATTCTACACCAGTAAGATTGATGCTTATCAAAACTTATCAAGCGTTTTTCGCTCATATGCGAGACCAAACCTGTGATGGGTCTGTGTTTCTGCTCCACACCTCAGGTCCCAGTGAGGCAGAGGGCTTCCAGCTGGAGATGAGTGGTCTTCTGTCAGAGCTTGCCTGCCCTTACAGCACTCTGACCACTGGAGGCATCACCCAGAGGTTTCTGAACAGAACTGACTGTCTGCTCCTAATCAGTAGGTTTATTACACTACACTAACGTGTCTCTGTTCAAACTTAACTTCGTTATACTACTTTGATGTACATGTTAAAAATTCAAATATTTCCAGTCATACTCGAAGCACTTTTTCACCCACTCACACTCACAAGCATGCGCACATTCATACACAAATACACAGGTTGGCAGGTAATTGCAACTTGGGGTTAATGCCCTGCCTAGGGCAAACTGGCGTGTGACTGTAGAGAGATGGAATTACACTGATTACTGCTGAACCACAAGACATTTTTATATTAATGCAGAAAAGCCTGGAGTCCACATAAAGACAGAAATTATTTATTATCAAAAAGGTTTTTGGCAGATTTTTGATGCTCATAACGTGTTAACCATTCAGGTAACACTCTTAACAGTGAAGGCAGTTGATCTGTAGCGAATAATTTATTATTTTTTATTATCTGCTATCCACTCTGATCAGTGGATAGTAGATAATGTCTAGCCAGCCATAGTATTGTTTTGGCCATATGTAAAGAATATTCTTGCAAAAATTATATTAGTTTGATTCATAACAAACTTATTCTTATTGAAGAAAAATATCTCTGCCTCTAGTCAGCGCTTCTCCTTGGGTTTAGCTTGTGTTGCTTCCCTCCTTTCTCCTAAAAGAGATAGAGGGGAAACTTGCTGTGTTAGGTTTGCAGGTTAAATGTACTAACATACTGTTTGTTTTTTATAAAGTTGTGCTCCATGATTTAAAAAAAAAAATCTCAAAATTTTAAAAAGATGCTTTTGAAAGGGACAAATTGTTATAGCATAATGTTGAGTGCATACTTGTTTGTACCTTTGAATAACACTTCAGAGTACATATACTGCACACAAGATGTGGAGAAAATCTTATGGCCTCACAGCAGGAGTAGCAGCAGGAGAATAATCAGAACGTTAACTCTTAATACACAACTACTAACATAATCTTAATCTTATGTTTGTAAGCCTAGCAGACAAATTCCAGCAACAGTAATAGTGTTATTTCAAGTAATACTGTTGCTGTTTTTGAATGCACTACAATACTCCAACAACCATGTAACTTTGGCTGTGTGGTCATGATGGAAAGGGAAACTCCATCAAGACCAAAGAAACTTTGGTCTTCTTCAGCAGGTTTTCCTCCAGGATTGTCCAGCATTTAGCTGTAACAATCACCTCTTACCAGCTTCTCTTTAGCAGGATGCAGCCACCACCATGTTTCACCATGGGGGTGAGGATTTTAGGTTATCTTTGTTTTCCACTGCCAAAAACTGTTTTGATCCCATCAGTCCAGATGCACTGCTGTATCTGATGTGTCATCTGAATGACTGTGGATAAACTCCAATCTTATGGTTTTCTTCTTACCATGCCAGATGTGTAGACTGGATGGCAAAAAGTATGTTTCCAGTCCTGGAAACTTCTCCAGGAATCAAAGCAATAATTTCAGAATAAGATAGATTATATCTGCATTTTTTATTTATTTGTTTATTTCATTCACTTACAGTTTAAAATGAAAATGTCACACGTTGCCATGAACAATGGGGACATGTGGGCGTGGCTAATCCCTCGCTGTTTGCATACGGTTGGCTCTAAATCATATATGCATCATCCTATTTGCACTAAACTTGATATGATTGACCTTTGTTAACCTCTAAAGAGCCCAATGGCATTAAATTGTAAATTGACTCCACTGCGCCCCCTATGTTATTCCAACAGTTATATCTCCTTAATATATCAGCCGATCTGCATCATATTTTTTTATGCATCATTAGAGAGCGCTGCTGAACACGTCTATGTGCATCGCATCGCCTACTGAACAGGTGAGGGAATGATGTGAGAGCTTCGAGGGTGGTGAGCATATGGTGTGGCTAAAGCTCCTGCGGTCGCCATAGGGCCGGAGCGGCGCTGAGCTGCAAGGGCCTCCAACACCTGAATTTCTTATTTGCTGGACAATAAAGGCTGTTCCTATTTCTTCTTCAGCCTTTTTAGTGTCTGAGTTGGAGGCATCAAGAATGATCCTGATCAACAGGCCTCAGAAGAAAGCTCAGGAATCCGGCAGCCCTGTCTTCCAGGAGCTGAAGGGTATCTGCATGGCGCTGGGCATGTCCAAACCTCCATCCAACATCACCATGTTCCAGTTCTTCTCTGGAATCGAGAAGAAGGTCTGTCTACCTGGCAGCTCCACTTTTTTTATTATTGCTAACTGTAAATCTTTACATAAGATGGAATAACATGGTCTGTACAAGTTCAAAATAAATGAATATGGATTAGTGGATTTTACTCTGTTCTGTCAGCAGCATCAGCCTGTAAATATGCTCCAAGAGGGAGCTTTTACCTGTGTATTGTTGATCATTTTTATGCATATATATATAATTTTTCTTTTTTATTATTATTTTTCTCTATCTCAGTTGAAAGAAGCCATAAGTCGAGTTCCACCAAATCATGTTGGAGAACCTCTGCTGAACAAGCCCCTCGGACCTGTTCATATGGTAAATTCTGCTAAATGAAACAAATAATTCTCAGTTAGCAGAAAGTGAGTGAATGTTTCTTTACTCCCTTGTTTTTTTTTTTTTTTGTTTTGATTTTTTTTTGTCTAGGAAAAGATTGAGGCCATCAACCAATCTCTTGGAAATGAGTATGAAGTGAGAAGAAAGATGTTGTTGAAACGTCTTGATGTAACTGTGCAGTCTTTCGGCTGGTCTGAAAGAGCCAAGGTACGTTGCTATCCAGGCATTACCATGCACAAAATGTTTTTGGTTGTCTTTAATGGTGCTGACCAATTTTGACGATTAATAAAATGTGCTGTTATTAAAGATTTACATTTTTGGAAAATCTGAATTTCTTTTCACCAATGCACTCCTTGGATTTCAGAAGTTCAGAGTCATGTCAACCAACCCAGGCTGGGTCTACCTTCTTGTTTTACAAGCATGTTTCATAGCTTGTATTAGTATAATATCAATGTATACTTTGCTCCAACAATCCCAGGAGGGATTATTGGAGCAACAGCTTTTTGAAAATATTCCCGCCATTTGTAATTTCTTTTTGAGAAAGGAAATGGAAATTGTATAAAATTGATTAAAATCAGAAATAGTATTTTGGATGAAAAAAAAATCTGAGATTATATTTTTAAGTTATGCCACTTATCTGTAGTTTTCACTATTTATGACTTCAAAGGGTAGATTTTTGTCTAACTTAACAAAATGGAAATTAACACTATAAGGAAAATTAGCTGCATACTTTCGGGGATTATCACATTTTGTGAGTTCAAAATAATCCCACCTTCTATTTCCTCTTTCAAATGTAGAGTACGAAGATAAGTGTGTAATGAATGAGAGGTCAACGACGGGATGCACTGAACTCATAATGCACTTTTGCTATGTGAATTTTGGATTGACATTATGAACATGTTCACCTAAAGATTTTAATAAGTCATCCTGAAGGTTCTTGAATATTTTTTTAAACAAAGTTCTGCTAATTTCTCCAAATCTTACTGTGTTGAAGCACTGGGTTGAATCTGATAGAGAATCTGTAAAGCTATCCACAGATGAGGTGAAGACAAGAGGACTTTCAACCTCCAACAGCTGAAACTCATCACAAAAGATTAATGGTCACACATCTCAGTTTAGACATACAAAATCTCAGCAGCAATAACTGGGAACAGCACATAATCAGGCCCATATAAAGTTACATATTTTTGTGTGCAACTTTTCTTATTACAAACTAAAAGACTTTTTTTTTCTTTTCCCGTGTTTTGCTAAAGATCCAAGCTGAGAAGTTAAGTAAAGTGTACCAGCCGCTGCGTTCTGCCCTCCTCACCAAAAGCAACATTTCTGTCGCTCACCTTCTTGCTGCACGACAAGACTTCTCCAAGATCCTTCGTACAAGCAGTGGCAAGATAAGAGAGAAGACAGCCTGTGCCATTAATAAGGTTGGTGTGTTCCAACAGCGTCACACTGTCTTCCTTCTATTAAGGGATATTATGATATCATTTTTTTCCTTAATTGTAATCATCATTTCTGTCATGTAAGCAAAAATAGCCACACCAGAAGTTGTCTTAAAGAAATATTTTCTGTAGTTGACCATGTACTTTTAAACAACGGACAAATCTGCAGACCATTCGTTCTTTTGACAGATTACACTTCACACTCCTGACTACTTGGTGCAGATGCGCGAGACACTTTCAACTTTATGCATAGAGTACATGACAGAGGGAACTAACTCAATCATTAAAAATCTTAAAAATCCCATCTTAATTTCATGTATTACCTGTATACTGAATTAATTCATCTTGCTGATCAGGAGCTGACAGCGCGGCGAGAGTTATGGACATGAAGCTTTGGAGCGCGTCTGGTTCAAAAGCACATTCCAAACTTTGGCGGAAGAAGCACGTTTAACAAGTGTACAGTACATGCAGAACAAAGAAAACTAAATGAGAATGCTATGTTCTGTTGATCTATTTATAGTCTAGATAAAGGAGAAGGCAGTTTTCCCTTTTGACGAAAGACACTAAGGTGCAGAAGTTAATTAGACTGTAACAACCAGAGTACACTGGACAATAAATACATATGCAACCCTGCCCTGCTCCGCTCAGTGACTCATCCAGGAGATTTGCACTTGACTCAGCCTGCGGTTACAACAAGCGACAAAATGGAACTAGAAAACATTAAGCAAAGGATACAGACAGGAGAAGTAACACTGCTTACTTATGGTCTAAAAGTGAAAGCAGTAAAATCTTAATTAAAATAGTATGTCAGATTTAATTCAGCCTCAGGGCTTTAATTAAAGTTAATTAGTCTAGTTGAATCGGGCTCGGACACGACGCTTATGGGCTCAGTTAATGCCGTTCTAAAATCTAGCGCAGATTTCTCTTCCTAATGGCGACCAGGAGAAAGTTCTGAGGCTGTGTGTTCATACCACAGCAGGTGAAGCGTTCATAATTTAAGTGGAGTCATTTAATTTTATTGTTCATGTGTAGTTATTGGGGTCACAGTCATTGTTTTTTGTCTCACCGGAAGAAAAAGTTAGTTCGTCTGCTCTGTGTAATAGAATCTTGATAATCTGCTCAACTTGTTGAATATTAAATGGATAGAATGAAAATGATTTTCGACTGAATAGCTTATGTAATTAGCGTCATTATAAAAATTGACTGGTAAAATAGATAACAGAATTTTTTTGATGCTAACACAACCTCTGAACCACAAACAAAAATAAAACATTTGTGGAACGGACCATATTTTCACTATAAATGTAACAACTAATGTGTATTTAAAATATATGTGTGAATCTCATCGGGCTGGATTGGTAATTACACATTTTGGGTCAAAACACTTTGATTTATTTCTCAGTTTATCCAAACATATGCAGCCTTGCATATGAAACCAGTGTTGGCTACAAGTCGATGGCCTGAAGATGGGGGACAAAATGGAAAGGCTAGAAGGAAAGGAAACATCTGCAGGCTGATGCTGCCAAAGATGAACATTTCACACACACATTTGCTCTAGCTTTCACTTCTGCAGCAACAGATGTTAAGCAGCCACATGAAATGAAGGAAGAAGAGCCTTAGTGAAGAGAGCAGCAGATGATGCAACACTCCAGATAAGTTTTTGAGGAGGAAATAACATTATAATGTGATAAAAAAACTAAGAGAAGTTGAATTTGTGTAATACTCTAGCCCTACCAATTTATTAATAACACAAATCAGATGACGTCAGATGTCTAACAACATCGAATTTGTTAGATGTCTGCAACCCTGACACCTAACGCTGGCTACGCATATGGTAACGCTGCCTGTTTTATTTTTTTTGTAATCTCATTGATCTAAAAACCCTTTAGCTTTCAGCAACTTAAACAATACCTGACTTTGCTCCTCAGGTTCTGATGGGCCGAGTGCCGGACAGAGGTGGAAGACCATGCGAGATCGAGCCTCCGCCTCCAGAGATGCCGTCCTGGCAGAAACGTCAGGATGCCCCTCAAGGTGGAGGGCACTACAGTGGGTCCCACGGGGGCAGCAGAGGGGGCTATGATAGCTTTTCGTACGGTGGCCGTGCAGGCTATGAAAGAGGTGGTGGAGGGGGGCACGAAGACAGGGGGGCCAGAGGAGTCGGTGGCAGAGGAGGGAAGGTGCAGGGAAGCTGGGGAGAGGGAGCTGGAGGGGGGAGAGGTGGGTACAGCCAGGGTCACTACCAAGACACAGGAAATTATCATGGGGGAGGAGGGAGAGGAGGTTATACGGGAGGGGGAGCCAACCAAGGAGGATTCCAGGATCAGGGCTTTCATGGAGGAGGAGGTGGTTACAACAATAGTTATAGCCAGGACGGGGGCTGGCACCAGGAAAGAGGCGGTGGCCGTGGAGGCCGAGGGGGCAGGGGCAGAGGCAGCAGAGGAGGTCAAAGTGGAGGCTGGGGGGGTAGAGGTGGTCAGAATTTCAACCAAGGAGGACAGTTTGAACAGTTTTTTCAACATGGAGGGCAGCAGTACAACCAGGCTGGCTTCAATCAAGGCAGACACTACACCAGCTGAAGATGCAGTTCGGGGCTTTACAGCAGAGATCAGAACACTGAATTCAGGAACTTCAGAGAAAAGCCTTATCTGAGCAGGTTCAGCAAACTGAAGCAAGAAATATGTCCTCTACATATTTTTATTTGGGTCACGTTCTCCGTCGACTGTTAAGTAATTGAAGATATAATCTTTTGCGTCCTGGTATGTATTCATTTTTGCCTTATTAATTCGTTTTGAAGCTGCCCTCCAGCTCTGTTTAAAATAGCTTGTGTAGCTGGACTCTGCTGTGCTGATTTCACCCTGTTAGTTAAATCGGCCTTACTGAACGTTCTTCCTTAACACAGAAAGCGTTCCTCACATGTCAGTGTTTGTGCACCTATTGTGTGCAGTGCACATCAGTACCACACACAGGAGGGTCACTGAAATCAAAGATTACTTGAAAGCGGTGTCAATTTTCCAGTCCACGTTTCATTTCAGTATGTTTGACTGGAAATTTCTAAGTTACTTATTTAAAAGATGCCAACTTGCACAGCTGTGTGGAAACAGCTATTAATGTTGGAAGGTTTGTATGGATGTGTGAATGAGGAATAAAAGGAATAAAAATCCCTTTTTGCATTGAGTATAGTGGTGATTTCATCTGGAGAACTTGCAGTATTTAGTGTTGACTCCCACTAATGGCCCATTTGAATTGAAATTGATATGAAACCCAAACAGGGAGCAGTAACCAAAATCATAGATGATCTGCTTTGAAACCTGAAAAAAAATGATGCTGGGAAAAGATGCATCCATTTGATGTATCGTTATGAATCAACTGGAAAATGATTCTTTAATCAGAATTAACATGTATTCATGCAAACTAATGATGGTTATCTGAATGATTTAGTTCACTAGAAGCTTATGCATATTTGGTCAGAAGATTAATGTTGCGGTCAAGTTGGAAAGTGAACATTAGCCTCACAGATCCATTAATAATAATAATAATCCCTTCTGGGATCAACGGAACCTCAGTAAATAATAGACAAAAGAAAATTAGTCAATACAAGACTCATTTTGACTGGAATTACTAAAATAAAAGTATTTACAGCAATTGTTCTCAAGTAAAAGTAGCACTACTTAAAAATATTTTTACTCAAGAGAATAAGCATCCAAGAAATTACTCAATAGTAAAGTATTTGGTAAAAAGACTACCGAGTAGCCAAAATGAAAATAATTTATGTACATACCATAATTACAAAAATAAAAAAGCAGGCAACAGATCAATTTTTCATAATCAAATTCTTTCAATATAATACTTATGGAAAAAACTTCCAAGTCTGTGTTTTGTGATTTTTGGTTAAGACCAGCTTGTTCTTACTTCAGTGAAGTTACTCACAGTAGGCAGATATCCAGAAATTTTACTCAAATTAGTATGAGTAATGATACTTCATACAAAAATTAGTGACTTAAAAGTAAGAAGTGTTTTTTCCCCAAAAAAGTTATCAACTAAATGTAGCTGATTAAATGTAGCTAGTTATTACACAACGCTGATTTTTTTTTTTTTATTGTTCTTGGAATGCATTACACCCTCTGGTGGCCCTTCATATGTATTTACTTCCTCCTCATCCAGTTAAGAAGTTTTTTAGACTTGCGGGACACCCTGGCCCTCTAACACTGCTGTAGACTATAGACAATTCATCATGAGTGCATATTTATTCTGAGCAGTTTCTCTGAAAATGTACAGTATTTTGGGCCATCAGAGAAACACATTTTAATTTGTATTTCCAATCTTTATTTTGAAGTTTACATGCCGGATTATTCGTCAAGACCAGTGGTCCCCAAACTTTTTCCTGTGAGGGCCACATAACTTTTCCCTTCTCTGGTGGGGGGCCGGAGTCAGACTGTAACAGAAAAAGTTTGACGTTTATCACCTGCCCTGCCGGAAATTGTTAGGGCGGGGCGATTGAAACTGTTCAGCGGGGGTTCGCGTTTCTAGATAGAATTCTACCCAGAAAGCACATGGAAAAAAAAACGTGAGTGAAAAGGTGGACTGACTAGTATATATTCCATTTAGGGAAAGTAACTTTAACATCTGAATTCCTCATATGTTAACATAAAGGCTTGTTTGGAAGTATAAGCTGCTACTTACAGGCATTGCTTCGAAGAACTCGACCTGGAATGCGGCGTTCATAACAGACACGTGTGTTCATCTGCTCTACCAGGGAGCACTGTTCAAGACCCTTCAAATTATAGGCCTATAGCTCTTACATCTCAATTAGGGAAAATAATGGAGAGAATTGTAACAGACAGACTATCATATTTTCTTGAAAGTAAAAATAAATTTTCTCCTTTTCAAAGTGGTTTTTGTAAAGGGAGAAATACAATGGATGCAGTATTGTGCTTGGAGTCGAAAGTAAGGAAAGCTCAAACGAATAAAGAAATAATGATAGCTGTGTTCTTTGACATATAAAAGGTGTATGATATGTTATGGAAAGAGGGATTATTGATTAAATTAGAAAAACTTGGCATAGGAGGTAAGATTTACAACTGGGCTTTAGATTTTTTGTTTGGTAGAGAAACAAGTTAGGGTTGAGGCAACTTTCTCTACTAGATATATTGTTGAGAATGGTACCCCACAAGGCAGTGTGTGTAGCCCAATTCTTTTTAATATTATGATAAATGACATTTTTGATGAGATAGATGGTAGTATAGGGAAATCTTTATTTTCAGATGATGGGGCTTTGTGGGTGCTTGGACATTATCTTATATATTTACAGAAAAAGATGCAGGATGCCATATTGAAAGTGGAAAGTTGGGCAAACATGGGGATTTAGAATGTCAATTGCAAAGACCCAAGTTATCTGTTTTTATAGAAGACATAAGGAAGTTAATTTGAATCTTTATAATCAGTAGCTTGAGCAAGTGAATAAAGTGAAGTTTTTAGGTGTCATCTTTGATGAAAAATTAACTTGGAAACAGCACATAGAATCAGTTCAAAATAAATGGAAAAAAGTAAATAATTTGTTGAGATGTCTTTCTGGTCAGGAATGGGAACTTCAAGAAGTGGACTGTTGGCTCTCGTGAGATCTTTTTATTATGGGTGTATAGCATATATGGCAGCTGCTGACAGTCAATTGAGAAAACTTGATAGTGAACAAGCACAAGGATTAAGAATATGTTGTGGAGCTTTCAGATCATCTCCTTTAGCTGCTTTACAAGTTGAATCTGGTGAGCTTCCTTTAAGATTAAGAAGATTGAAGCTAATGAATGTGTATTGGGTAAACCTACAGGGACATAATTATGATCATCCAACTAAGGCTGTGCTGCAGGACTGTTGGGAACATCATAAATCTAATTATAATAGTTTTAGATGGATTGTGGACATCAAAGCTCAACATTTTGGTTTGACTCACTTCCTGTATAGTTTTACGGTTCCACAATCTCCAATTCCACCATGGTTATTTATCTCACCAGAAGTTGATCTGCAATTGGGGGGATTTCTTAAAAAGGGAAAGACTCCACAATGGATTATAGTTAATAATTATTTTTGAAAGATTTAAAGGTAGTATAATTATATATACAGATGAATCTAAAGATCCAAATAGTGGCAGAACAGGAGCTGCTGTGAATATCCCACACCATAAAGTCATGATTAAAAGAACAACAGATCATCTAGCAGTTTTTACAGTTGAATTATCTGCCATTATGTTAGTTTTAGAATGGTTGCTTGATAATAATATTAGGGAAGAAAGTAAATGTATAATTGCATCAGATAGTCAAATTAAGTGTAAAATCTGGCAAATCTTGTAGATTAGATTTATTATTAAGTATATGTCAATTATTAGTTCAGCTACATAATGAGAAATGTTTGGTTCGATTTGTCTGGATTCCTGCTCATGTAGCTATAGAGGGAAATGAAGAAGTAGATATATTAGCTAAACAGGGCCTGAAATCAGATATTATTAACTTAAATATTCCTTTAAGCAAAAGTGAGAGGAAATCTATTATTCAAAATAAAATCCTTAAACTTTGGCAGGAACAAGGCGATAATCATGATAAAGGTAGACATTTATACATAATTCAAAAGAATGTGTGAGCAATAATTGTATAAATGGAAGGCGGAAAGAAGAGATAGTAATTTCTCGACTTAGAATTGGTCATACTGGACTAGCTCTTTCAGAATAGGAAAACATGAAACTGGGACTTGTAGTTATTGTAATTAGATGGAAACAGTGGAGCATGTCTTATAAGAATGTAATAAATATTCAGAGCAACGTCAGCATTTAAAGTCAACACTAATAGAGAAAATATAGAATTGTCTATAATAAATCTTTTAAGAAATAAATCAAATTATGTTAGAAATCAATTAATTAGATTTTTTTTAAAACACTGGGTTATTTAATCGTATTTAAAGTATGTATGTATGTATCTGTGTGTGCGCGCGCGCGTGCGTGCGTGCGTATGTATGTATGTATGTATGTATGTGTATACCTGTGCATACACATACATACATATATATGAGTGTGTATGGATGTGAATTTGCACATTGTGCATACCATTGAGGTGTATTATTAAATTCCCTCTGGGAACATTGATGACCACACTCCAGTCTGGTAGGTGGCGGTAAATGCACCTTAAGTTGGTTCCCATCCGCCAATAAAACTCAACGGAAGAAGAAGAAGAAGGAGGAGGAGGAGGAGGAGGAGGATGTTTTGTCACTTGTAGTTCCGGTGGCTTCTGCAACCTGTGTGTACTATGAATTAAGACCCGAAAAGATATCAGACCTAGCTCATTTCTACGGAGACTGACGTTCATTGTTTCGTTAAACGTGATCTCAGAGTGACCTCTGGGAGGTTCTGCGCTTCTGGGTCATGTACCGGCCGGACCAACCTGAGCAGAGGCCACGGGTGCCGTTTGGTCCTCCACCGCCCCTCGGTCTGCATGTCAGACCTCCAGTGGCCTGTCCCCCGCCTCACCCTGGACACAGTGGACCGTTTTCGGAGAGCCGTTTTCTGTTCAGCAGGCCGCCAGCAAGCCACTTCGTCAGTGTACGTACCGACTTTTTCCTGAGCTACCTCTGTGGCTAATAGCAGTGCTTTACTGCGCGGTTAGCTTTACACAGACAGCAGGTTGCTTCAGAACAAGGGTTGCTGCTGCTGTCTTTGTTCTGCTACAGCTTCTATTACTGTGGAGTATGTATCAGAATTTGAAATACGTGAACATCCTTGTTAACTTATTTACTCACTTATTTACGTTGTTTCACAATGTAAACAGTTTTCAGCACTGATCAGATTTATGTCACGATTAAACTTTAGCTGTATGCTAAATAAACCAATCATGAGCTGTCTTGTTTGCGGTGCTTCACTGCATGCTTCTACATTATTTCAGTTTTTAAATGAACAGTGTTCCTGACGGCCATCCTGGACTACATGTAAACTAGAGCCATAGCCTGACAGTTTGGAGGAAATTGACTTTGTCATTTAGTCTTTCTTTTTTCTTTTTGCACAGTAGTTGTGTAGTAGGACAATCAATAAGGTAGGTATCGAAAACAGCATACGCCTTTTCAAGAAATGTTTACCTCAGTACAGTTTTTAATGTATAAAATGTGCATATGTATTTTTGGATTAAAAGACTATTTACAATATGTAAAAAATAAAAATAAAAAAAAGAAAGAAAAAGAGAAAAACGTAAAACTGCAAATGCATAAATGTTTTCAGTGAAACAAGATTTTGAATTGAACGAGAACATCACTAGTTTTTGTGAGAGCAGAAGCTAAGAGGGCCCCAAGGTTATGGACCAGGTCGCCTCTACAGTCATGGCCAAAAGTTTTGAGAATGATTCAAATGTTAATATTTACAAAGTCTACTGCTTCAGTTTTTATAATGGCAATTTGCATATACTCCAGAATGTTATAAAGAGTGATCAGCTTAACAGCAATTAATTGCAAAGTCAATATTTGCCTAGAAAATGAACTTTATCCCCCAAAACACATTTTTGGTGGAAAGAAAATGGCCAAGTTAAACCCAGCCTTAAAAGGACCAGCTAACATCGTTTCAGTGATTGCTCCATTAACACAGGTGTGGGTGTTGATGAGGACAGGGCTGGAGATCAATCTGTCATGATTAAGTAAGAATGACACCACTGGACACTTTAAAAAGAGGCTGGTGCTTGGCATCATTGTTTCTCTTCTGTGAACCATGGTTATCTCTAAAGAAACACGTGCAGTCATCATTGCACTGCACAAAAATGGCCTAACAGGGAAGAGTATCGCAGCTAGAAAGATTGCACCTCAGTCAACAATCTATCGCATCATCAAGAACTTCAAGGAGAGAGGTTCCATTGTTGCCAAAAAGGCTCCAGGGCGCCCAAGAAAGACCAGCAAGCGCCAGGACCGTCTCTTAAAAGTGTTTCAGCTGCGGGATCGGGCTACCAGCAGTGCAGAGCTTGCTCAGGAATGGCAGCAGGCAGGTGTGAGTGCATCTGCACGCACTGTGAGGCGGAGACTCTTGGAGCAAGGCCTGGTCTCAAGGAGGGCAGCAAAGAAGCCACTTCTCTCCAGGAAAAACATCAGGGACAGACTGATATTCTGCAAAAGGTACAGGGAGTGGACTGCTGAGGACTGGGGTAAAGTCATTTTCTCTGATGAATCCCCTTTCCGATTGTTTGGGACATCTGGAAAACAGCTTGTTCGGAGAAGACGAGGTGAGCGCTACCACCAGTCTTGTCTCATGCCAACTGTAAAGCATCCTGAAACCATTCATGTGTGGGGTTGCTTCTCAGCCAAAGGAGGCGGCTCTCTCTCAGTCTTGCCTAAAAACACAGCCATGAATAAAGAATGGTACCAAAATGTCCTCCGAGAGCAACTTCTCCTAACTGTCCAAGAGCAGTTTGGTGATGAACAATGCCTTTTCCAGCATGATGGAGCACCTTGCCATAAAGCAAAGGTGATAACTAACTGGCTCAGGGAACAAAACATAGAGATTTTGGGTCCATGGCCTGGAAACTCCCCAGATCTTAATCCCATTGAAAACTTGTGGTCAATCATCAAGAGACGGGTGGACAAACAAAAACCTAGGAATTCTGACAAAATGCAAGCATTGATTGTGCAATAATGGACTGCTATCAGTCCGGATTTGGTCCAGACCAGAAGTTGATTGAGAACATGCCAGGGAGAATTGCAGAGGTCCTGAAGAAGAGGGGTCAACACTGCAAATATTGACTTGCTGCATTAACTCATTGTGTCAATAAAAGCTTTTGTTTCTCATAATATGATTGTAATTGTATTTCTGTATGTGATGAAAACATCTGACATACACACATGAAAACCAGAGGGCAGCAGATCATGTGGAAATATATTTGTGTCATTCTCAAAACTTATGGCCATGACTGTACATGCCAAGCAGCTCCTTCACCATCTCCTCTTAAATCCATCTATTTCCCCAGCAATCAACACAGCATAAATCGTTTATTTCATGGAAGTTATGTTACCTGATATTGTTATATCTTCACTTATCCCCTTAATGTACAATACTTTGATCAACCATTTGTTGTTTTCAGTTGTGCTTTATAAGAAGACAAATTTGACTGAATAGCCACAGATTCTGCATTTAAGCACAGCTTATGTTGATCCTCAAAACCATGGTGTGTTTTTGCAACCAGCCTCTTTGATCTTACCTAGTTTATAATAGACACAAATCATAATTCACAATTATGTGACTTATGTCACATAAACTTATGTCCCAAAGTCAATGATCCGATGCACTTTGCTAAAGTTTGGATCCATTCTGACATGAATTTGTGTGAACTGAAATATCAGAGCGAGTCGTACTCAATGACTGAGTGAACAAATGATCATACAGCAATTTTTCCACTGCCTGCCTGTTTAATAACAGAAGGATAGATGTTGTATAGTGTCAGAGTTAGCAGGGGGACCTTTAGGGCTAAACAATGTTATAAAATCATGGGATGGTAATATTGCAGATAAACATAACATCATCAGTTGAAGTAAATCCATATTTTCCTTTCTTACTGTCATCTCTGTCTCGAAAACTCTGGAATGTTAACCCCCATGGCCACAGTCAGCTCTGATGGGGTGAGCATCTTATAAAGTGAAAATCTTCACGGAGAAGGAATTTTTTGCAGTCTGAGCTCATGGAGTAAAATTATTGCATTTCTAACACTTGGGTGATATCATTACGCACACAGATGCTGTGATGATGTTTCATAAGCAACGTCTGAATCATGATTGAACATCTTTAGTTTTCTAATATTCATCTTATGTAAACTTTATTAGCATTGCAAAATACAGCTAACATGGCCATGGCTGGTAATGTTAAGACACCTGCAGTTGTCTGTGTTTGTGGAAAATCCTCCTTCATACAGAGCAAAATATGAAGTTTAACTAACTGTGAAATGACTCTAAGAACAGTATGCTGATGAAACACAAATTTCGTTTGCCTTACCAACTAAAACTACACCTAATTAAAAGATGAAATGCACACTAATGAAATATATCCGAGTTATTTGGAAATGACAGAGTGCCAGGCCATGAGCAGGGTAGAACAGCTTGGTTAGCGTTGTTCTATTGTAAAATAACAGTAAAATTTGTTGGAATCCAGGAAGTCGGTGCAAAGTGAGGCTGATATATTATACACATTTCGAGGTGCCTATAAATGTTGAAGAACTTTTTGGGTTTCATACCAAAATGTAGAAGTCAAAATTATTATTAAAGATGTGTACACACACATATATATACATGTATATATAACTAATTAAAATAACACTTTTGCTTAAAATCTAAGCCATACTGTTGTTTTGTACTTTTCTCAGCCAACAGCAAGATTTTCTGCAGTCCATTTACGTATTTTTTTTTTCCTTCCGTCATGACAAACGTTTATTTTTTTCCTGAAGATGGACAATTTGTGCCGGACAGAGTAAGTTGACATGAACATTAATTGTTTAAATACTGTTCTTAACCACATATCTTATATATTAATGCTGATATTCAGTTAGCACGTTTTCAGTTTCAAACTTTAGCTGCCTATTTTGCAAGATTAGCTTATTCCTCACTTTTGTTTTCTTAAGTTTTTGTATGACTGTTTTTGAATTCTTCTTTTGTTATGTTAAGTAAAGTGTTAAAGGAACTAATGTGGTTCTCATATTTTCCAGGGTAAAATTAAAAGTGAACAGAACCCCTGAAGAGATGATTTGACTTTTGAGACGTTCTCAGCTGTTTCTGCTGTGGCTTATACAGCACTGACTAACAGGCTTGGAGAAACTAATGCATTTGTCTGGAGATGTGTAAAAGTTTGAGCTATTTAGAAATTTGTAAATTTATCTAACATTGCATAGTTCTAATTGGATAAAATTTGCATTCTGCTTTTGTCTTTCATTTGATCGTTATTAGTATTATTCATGTGTTTCTAGATTTTTTTTTAAGTCTCTCCGGTTCACATTGTATTATACTGCTAAATTTTTTTTATGAATTTACTGAAATTGGAAGACGATGTATATATTTTTGTACAGTTTATGACTGTGCATTCTTATGACCTCGTCAACTTTGATTAATAGCTGTGCAGTTTAAGATAAAATTCTGTAGCAAAGGTGCACATTCTCATTGATTCTAAGTTTGGAAATGATCATTTGTTAAGTTTACACTTTTATTTCAAGCCTGTTTAGAACTTTGTCCTTGAGCAAAAACACAATCAGATGTGGAGATCAAGACATGGATCAACCTCTGACACATGGAGGAGTAAAGAAGATTGTTCTTCTACTAAAAGCTGAGGTGTTTGATTGTGTTTATTCAGCAATTTTGAATATGTATTTATCACTCTTACTTTTGCAGTTTTGATGTTCAGTAGGCTATCATTTGAGTTATTTTAAAAATGTTTCTGCAACTTCCAAAAATTATTTACTAAACTATAAATTTGAATCAGGATGTTTTTGTCTAATCTACTCATTAAATTTTATCTTATGTCAATCATTTGATGCACTTAATTGTTTAATGTAACAATGTCAATGGCTTTATTCTTTGTTGTGACATTTTTTTAAATGTAATTTTATTATTTTGCTTTTACACCAGTCATGTATTTTATTTTTGGGTGAGCTTTTGTAACAACTGTAAAGATGAGGCTGGTAACTTTTTTTTATAAAAAAAACAAGGATTGTATTGAAATGTCGTGTCAGTGAGATCAGTTAGCTCTAAACTAACTAAATAATTAGTTTAGGCAATGTGAGAAACTTGGTATGTTCCAAACATTTCATGGCAGTCTTGGTGAACCTGCATAGTTCTCCTGCAGAATTATGAGAGGCAATTTTGTCCTTCTTTTTTGAAATTAAAGGTTCCATGACATCAGAGTTTCTTTCCTGAAACAACTCATCTTCCTGCTGCTGAACCAGAGTTAACACAACGTATATGTTCAATCTATAGTTATACCAGTTATAAGTCAGTTTCAGTCGTTCATAGCTGCATGTCCAGCAACATACTGTGTTGCACACTAAACCTACTCATACTCAGTTAACACCTCTTCAGGTCATTCCACAGTTCATATGCGAACTGATAAACAGAAGTTACTTGTGTCTAAACATGAAGTATAGCCAAATGAAGGATGTTCCACATCGTTTGATTGTCTATGGTTCAATTTAAATTTTTGATTGACCAATCAAGTGTGCCATCCTGAGCATTAATTTTTATATTATCAATGTGTGTTTTTTTTGTGATATATATAATTTTGGTTTGTATATTTTCTAACTTCTTGTATTCTAAGAATAAGACCAAAATTCTTTTCTGTTTATGGTTAAAGTTTGAGATATTAACATTTTGAATATGACCATTTTTACAAGTTTACATAATAGTAACTATTTGCAAAGAAAATGACTTACCAGCAAACAATGAGACCCCTTTAGACCTAGACATCACTTTCACCTATACTGATGGTTATTAAAGTTTTATTTTGTATGTCACTAAAACATGAATTCTGAATACTCTCAGCCCCACTGTAGCAACTTCCCTATAGACCATAGTATAGTGGGAGGCAACCAGCACCTTGTTCCTTCGGCAGAACTGCATCGTCATCAGGCCCCCCCATGGAATCCTTTAATTGTGAAACGCCACTCTCAAGACAACAGGTCTGTGTATGAATATTTTTTGAGTTTCTACTGGAACTTTGTTGTACTTTTGTTTCTTTAAAAAATTGAATCAATTCTTATTCATTTTTAGTGATCGGGCTGGAGAGGAATTTCTGAGATGCCTTGCGGCCAACAAACCTCTACCAGACTATCTGAAAGGGAATATGACATACAATTTGTTTGATGCATTGAAGTCTGCTAAAGACCTGAAAGAAGCAGTCAAAGGAGATCCACAGTTCCAGAAGCATGTTGGCAGGGACAAGAGTCGAAGCAGAAGTCAAAGTCGGGGCAGAAGTCGAGGGAGGTCTCGAGCCAAAAGCCGACCAAGAAGCAAAAGCAGGGGAAGAAGCAGAAGTACGGGAAGAAGCAAAAGCTGTGCACGTGGAAAGAGTCGAGCTAGAAGCAAAAGTAGGGCTCGCAGTCGGAGCCGAAGTCAGAGCAAGAAGAGTCACAAACGAAGTAAGAGCAAAGTCAGAAGGTCTAAGTCCCGTAGTGCCAGTATTGAAAAAAAGAGGAAGAGGACCCCTGTGCATAGTAGCAACAGCAGTGTTGGCAGTAGCAATTTGACAGGAAACAGTTTGTTAGAAGGACTGAAGATGGTCATGAAGAGCAAAGATTTGGAAGAACGGTTACCAGCGCTCAAAGATGCCATCCTTGGTATTCAAGTAAGAGTCTTCAGCCGTTACTTTTTCACTGAGTCATTTTGAAAAATTGTTACCCGTGATTTTCTTTTAAATGAAAGTACTGCAATTCATCTGCATTTAATTTTCCTTCAGTTTCATTAATATTCAGTAAGTTGAACAGAGAATCCACATTGTGCAATTACACATCATACAGATGCATGTAACCTGCATTTAAATTATGAATATGGAAATGGATCAAATGTCTCGGGTTTTCATATTAATCTGGAGGCTGAGTTCACACACTGCAGCTGCACTGAAGACTGGAATTAGAAGCGGCAGTTAAAGTTTTGAAATCAGGGAGCATCTTTCAAATACTTAAAAACCTTGATTTAAACACGGCGAGTGTCAAGATGGGCCACTGAAAAAGTGGCATTGTTCCATTTCAAGCTTCGCTCATGAACAAATTAATTTGATCACATTCATGCACAGCACTACCAACATCAATGGGTTTGAAGGGTATGTATTACACTCAACTGTCACTCAACTTCATATGTTTGCAAAGCCAGTGGAGCAAATGCAGATGCTCTGCATCTTAAATACCATGTGGTCATAACGTCTCACAGAACCCAACTTTACAAAATACAAACTTGATTTCAAGTGGAGAAATAGATGGTAAAGCAATAAAAGATTTTTATGTGTTTGAAGGGTATGTATTACATTCTGGAAATAACAGAAATGAATCACAATTTGATCATATTGTTCATGCAGAATGCATTTATTACCAGACAAATTTAATCTTTCCCCTTATTCCCTATAAGTATTTGTTTTAATTTGTTCTGCACAGGTTTTTGATGAAACCAAAAAGCTGGAAAGTACCTCTGCTAAGTACAAGATTGAGAAGTGGAACAGTCTGGACAATATAACATCGATGGAGAGCGACAGCATGTTGCTGCCTCATGAGAGAGTTGGCAGTGACTTTTCTTGGCTCAATGACAATGGTCAGGAGAACCTGTCCGTTCAGAAGGCTAGCGTGCTGGAGGATGAGGAGTCTTTCTTGTATGGGGCTGAACCACCTCATAATGGAGGCCATGTCAAAGTGGAAAAAAACAATTTTTCTGGTGTTGGCGGTCACCAGAACAAGTCCCTATACAGTGGGCTTAATTTGGTTGATCCAACCCCCCCCCAACAGATTTCTTTATCGACTTTTTCCTCCGTCAGTCTGGACAGCATAGAATGTGAGAAAATCAAGAATATATTAAATAGTCTGGGTGGAACATCAGATATTGGCAAGATGCTGATGAAAACTCAAGGCCAAAAGGAGGGCAGTGAGGTGTCTGGTGCTCTATTCAGTTCTGACACAGCAGCAGAGACACTGAGTAACCCAAATGTACGGAAAGCTCTGGAGTCTCTTCAGTCTCTGATCAAAGGTTAGCACCTTCTTGTCTGTTACAACAAGGCCAATTTCTTTTCTTCAGTATGCAGCTAAACATGTTGCCCAATGGCAAAGACGAGGTTATCCTTGTGAATTTAAATCAGTTATGTATGTAGAATAGAATGACTCTTCATGAGACTAATTCTACAACAAAGGGTCCTCAGTCCTGAGGCTTCCTCAGATCTGCTGTAACACAGATTACTGCAGGAGATCCTTCCTGCTATTTTTATCTATAGCTCCTCATTGATTAAACTTGGAGAGCTTGATGTACATTTACTTTTCCTTTGGTCCCACCAAAGTATTTTGCAATGGACTTTAATATATCACTTACTGATAGTAGCTCAAGAGTTTTTGTCATGTGTCTCCTCACTGTTTGTCTCCTGATTTTGAGTTGAATCTTGAGGAGATCCTGATTTTCTGAGACCGATTTTTGAGTTTGTGTTTCTTATCATACAGCTGCGGCTTATCTTCCAGTTATTTATCTAGCTCTGCTGAACAAAGCAAAGAGTGGACATAAAAAAGTCAAATGCTGATAATAATAATAATTAAGATGGTCTCATGCATCAGCTTCTTTACTGTCATCTTGTATGCACTGAAATGTGTTTTGTCTAATTTCCTTAAGCAACAAAGGAGAAACGGACAAAAAGTAATGACCAGTCCCTGACCTCATCTGATAAACACAAGGTAAGAGATTTTCAGGCAACCACAATTATGAAATTAAACATCCAAATGTTGAAACGCATCCTCTCACACTTATTCTTAAAAACATACCCTATGCTTTACAGTCAGATGACCATGGTGATAAGAAAAGAGCTAAAATGAAGCAAATTGAATCCTTAGCAGCAGAAATGGAGGAGTTGCTCAGACACGAAGGTAACAAGTTTTCTCTGTAGGTTTTCTTCCTTCTGTAAACCTTATTTCCACCATACTTTGCAGCATTTATTTTCTGTTTCCAGGGCTGGGTTTTATTTCTCCAGTGGTTGGGTTTTACTGCCAGAAATGTCAGGAGTTCATTGGAGATTTGAATTCTGCTGAAAACCATGCAACTTTCCACCAAAGTGTGAGTATGTTTGTGCTGGATGTTCTGTTGCTTTCTTGTAAATGTGAACGTTATTTGGTGATAAAGCTACCTGCCCCATGTTCAGAGTGCCTATTTTATTAGGCAATAAATTACTTTTGTCCATCCAGTCAACTTGTCAGTCAGTCGACTACTGTATAAATATCTGAAATCATAGAAAAATGTTGGACCTGTATATAAACAATTGCTATAAAAGGACAAAAATGTGGACAGTTTAGCCTGCCTAGCAAAATATGACGGAACCTTTCAGTACAGTTCATCTGGAAAGTGTTTACTGCGTTTCATTTGTTCCACATTTTATGTTAAGTACTATTCCAAATTCTATTAAATTGTCTTTCCTAAAAATTCTACATACAAATATCCCATTATGACAATATTAAAATGAAATTGAGATATTTTCAAATAAATTAAAAATAGGAAACCAAGAAATCACATATACATAAGTATTCACAACTTATGCTTAATACTTTGTTGAACCACCTTTGGCTGCAATTTCAGCCTCCAGTGTTTTTGAACATGATGTTACCAGATAGTATGACCCATTCCTCTCTGCAGTTCTTCTCCAGCTCCACCAAGTTGAATGGAAATGTCTGTCAGCCATTTTCAGATCTCTCCAGAGATGTTCAATCAAATTACAATTTTGACTTTTCTGCTGCTGTGCTGTGGTGCACCTTCTGCCTGCATTTTACAAAGAATATATAGTTGCTACAATAAAGAGTCGTCCTATTGGAGGGTGCTTTATTTACTCTTTTAATGTGTTCCGAATGTCATCAAGTTGATATCTTGACACTCCTGTTGTATTAAATTCAGGCTGACGTTTTTATTTATTTATTTTTTTTTTTACATTTTAACATTTTTTAGCGGTTGGACAAGCATGCTAGAGACAGCAAAGGTCACAGCAGCAGCACCAGCAGCCAACCCTCCCATTCAGCCTCCTGGAGTGACAGAGACCTTCAGCGGAATTGGAAGGACGAGAAGGAGCACCGGAACAGCCAACGAGACAACAGGTCTGAGCAGGCAAACATCTTCTTACAGGAAGAGATGAAGAAGGAGAGGATGCTCATAACCGTCAGCAGAGGGCTAACGCCTCCACCTCAAAGTGTCACTGTGAAACAGGAGAACAAGGAGCACGGGAAAGGCAGAGAAAAACCAGACAGCAGTGATAAATCATCCAAAACCAGCAGAGAGAAACACAAGGCGGAAAATTTTGAGAGCTGTGACAGCAATGAAGAAGACAAATCACCTAAAGTCAAACATTCTAAAAAGAAAAAGAAGAAGGAGAAAAAGAAGAAGAAGAAGAGTAAGGATTAATGTTTGTCGCATACGGGTTTCTAGGAGTGCTGACACCGCTGCAGCTCAACATTAAAACTTTCAGGTCTTAAATTTCGTCAAGAAACCTTTCTGTATTGTTTTTTTTTTTTTGTTGTTCTGATCTGAGAAGAGTTCTCGTTAAAAATTCAGCATTTATTTTGCTGCATTAGTAAGTTCTCCTGCATAGACAAGAAACACAGAGACGTATCTGTGTGTATGTTATAGAGAGGGATGTTGGTAGGAATCACAACCTGGATTGGATTTTTGAGGCAGATGGATTTTCAGATGTTTGTCTTTTTATCTTTATTCCTCAGTCTGTAGTTTTAATGGAACTTGGTGTTGGCCGACAGTAGGAAGGACTCCAAAATGTTATACTGTCCTTGCTTTCTTATTCCACCGCATAAACACATTGATATTTACTTGTTCCGTTTATGTACTTTTACATCACAACTGGCTAATTGTTGTTACCTTTATTATGAGTATTTTCCTATTTTTATCAGAACTCCCAACATGACATGTCTGTATCTTGTGATATTGTAAATAAAGAAACCAAACCTTTTTAATAAAATGTGTGGAAAAGTCAGATGTAATTGTTGAAGTGGTGTCATTGTTGCCAGAATAATGTTACTGCCAAAAAGACCATATTTCTATCCTGTCTGAAACATGGATAGTTGTGATGTGTCGGTGTAACAGACATATTTTCAGATTTGTCATCTTTGGTATTACGGGGCTGTTCTGTGAAAGAACCTGTACCGCTGGAAAAGTGCAAAACTCGCCCTGAATCTGAAAAGTGATGATTAAATCTTGTTTTTCATGTTTGTATAATGGACATAAACATTCCTCAGTGTAACTCCAATTGTCATGTACGGATAATGTCGTGTTTTGACATAAAACCAGACAAGATCAGTCATTTGAAAACCTAACTCTAGAGCATAAAGTATGAATACATCACCAAGGGTGATGAATATTTTTATTGTCTTTCTCACAATAAGAAAAGTTTTTTTAAGAAGTTACAAATCTGCTGGGGGCATGAATGTAAAATGTATAGTGCGGTTACCTACATTTGTACACCTTTACACTGATAATTTGTAGAAACAAAATCCATTTTTATGCTAATTGTCATGACAGAGTGTGCAGCCTGAGGAATTGTTTCATTTACTGAATTTGGGATGAAATATAAACACTATTGAAACCAAATTAGACTACACAGTGCCACAGTTGGTAGTGGTACCAACTGCGTTACAGCAACAAGGTCCTGCAGCTGAATCCTGTCTTTGGATCTTTCTGCATGGAGTTTGTATGTTCTCCCTGTGCATGTGAGGATTCTCTCCAGGTATACCAACTTCCTCCTACAATCTAAAAACATCACTGTTACGTGAATTGGTCTCTTGGTAGGTACATTACAGAGAAGGATGTGTGCGTGCATGGCTGTTTGTCTCTGTCTGCCCTATGATGGAATGGCAGTTGTGAAATTTTTTCTTGTTCTCTTGTTTCTTCTCAATTATTAGTTTTATTGCAGAAATTCAATTAATTTCCCTTTCTCCTACTCCATGGAAATAGTTCGGACACCTGATTCCTTAGAAATGTAGGATTAAAGAGGATGTAAGGGCAAGTGGTGAATTGAGTGTCAGCGTACCACTTATCTAACAGGGCTATGCCACATTATATTGTAAATGTCCAGAATACAGTTTGTATTCTTAAATGTGTCTGTACGTTGGAGCAGAGAGAGAAGACAGGCGGCAAATGGAACAAGAATCGAACCAGAGATGGTCATGTTGAGGACTGCAGCCCCTGAGCCACATAGTGCCCATTTAGTTATGTATTAACCCCTAACCCTTTTTTTTTTTTTTTTTTTTTTTTTGCATCCAACATATTTTCGTTAATATGCAAATGTATTTTTTCAAGATACTATTTGATAATTTTAGGAGCTGAAAATTACAATTTACTAATATTTTCTATATTTGTAGGTAGAAGTCGGATACTGACACGGTGAGCTGGAAAAAGTAGTTTTCTCTGTAAAGGTGAGTGTTACTGCAGTGAGTTGATGTTTTGCTCTCATCATAAAGCTAAGTGTAATGCAGGTTGAAGATAACACAGAATAAAGATGTATTTTTTTCTACTTTTAATTTTATTTTTTCTAACCTGTTTCTTCATCCAAAAGGACAAACACACACAACATTTGCAACTCAAATGTCTTGTTTTGTTTTTTCATTATTTCTGAGCTGATCATTTTTTGGGAGTGGCTACAGTTAGTGTCCAAGACTGAATCCTGTTTTTCAGTAACAGGGACCAAAACAATAAACATCTCCCATAACGCAAGTTGGAGAAACTCAGACATTCACATCAATAACACATTTAACACCCAACTTTGGTGAAGGATGGACATTCTTTGTTCCAGAACTTTACCGGTTCCTCTGGTTTACTGTCTCCCTTTGGAGAGTCCATGTTTTTTTTATGCCTTCTGTACCCTGAATGTTCTCATGAAAAAACTGAGTACATTTTCTAAACTGCAAGTCAAGAAAATCTAACATTGTTTGAAAACTTTCAAAATAAACTATCTAAAAATAAAGATTAAAATTTTGTCTTCCTGTCTGTCCTGTTGATTTAAACAATAGAACATGTTATTTAAACTAATATTTTGTTTTTAATGAACATTACAGTTTTGTTTGTTCAAAAACTGGAAAAGTTTTATAAACTTGTGGGCAACAAGGATTTGTCAAGGATTTGTCATACAGATGTTTTCAGTTTGGTTTAGTTTTTTAATGTAGTATCATACCCAGTTCTAAAACCAGTTAGTAACACTGTTACCTGGCCTTGCCGCGAGAAAGTCCTGGGTTCAAGTCCTGGCCTCGGGTCTTCCTTCACGGAATATATATGTTCTCTCTGTGCATGTGGGTACTCTCCAGGTATAAATTATCTTTAGATATGAGTGTGTCTATGTGTGGTTGCTTGTCCTATAATGGACTGGCAAACTGCTCAGGGTTTATCTCATCTCTTGCCCGTTGACTGCTGGAGACAGACAACAGCTCCTCTTGTGACCCTGCAGGGGGTTAGTGGATGGATTTAAGAACAACTTCCATCAGCCAAAGTGTGACACACAAAACAACAAATTGCAACAATTCAAACAAAAAACAATTACAATGGAATGAACTATATGTCTCAGTTGGCTGGAATCTGAGAGGACAGGAAGAAGACCCAGATGAACGCTGATGGTGTCGACAAGGAATACCCAACAGGACGAAGCAAAACCACAAAGGCAGTGACAGCAGTGAAAAACATTAATATCAGCCAACCTTTAATGTTAAAAGGTGCTCAGTGCATTCTGTCTTTCAGCAGGTAAGACCTACAGCAGTAGACCACTTGTCTAAGCTTGGAAAAAGAGCTTCATGAAACAGGAAAGTTCAAGGTTAGCCTTTAAAAACTGCACTACTGACCAAAAGTGCTGCATTTAACAAATGACCTGCCTGACTAAACTAGAATTTATCTTGTGAGTTTTTGTATTTTGAGCTAAAAGAACCTGATTGGCAAGTCATTGGCATGATAATATTAATCTGCTGACTGTCATTTTAAACAGAGTGAATGTCAGCTCCAACCTGTGCTCTCTCATTGTCCATGTGTGAGTTGATGTATAAGAAAACAATAAGGAAATGTCATCATGAACATTATCGTGATGTTTTGATTTTGA